TTCTGTAATGATTTGTAGCTTTGGAAAATCTCTGGGGGCAGTTCTACTTGGTCCTATAGGGTCACTATGAGTTGGTATCCACTCAGTGGCACTGGGTTTTGTTTTTTGGGTTAAAGGATGCATGCACCATTCGTCTGTCGGTTTGTAATGGCTTTAGTGTTGCTGTGATGCTGGAAGCTATGCCACAGGTATTTCAAATACCAATAGGATCACCCATGGTAAACAGGTTTCAGCAGAGCTTCCAGACTAAGACAAATTAGGAAGAAAGACATGGTGGTCTACTTCTGAAACAAATGGCCACTGAAAACTTTATGAATAGCAGTGGAATATTGTCTGATATAGTGCCCCATCTTCCAATGAGCCCCTCAGGTTGGAAGGCACTCAAAATAGTACTGAGGAAGAGCTGCCTCCTCAAAGTAGAGTTGACTTTAATGACGTGGATAGAGTAAAGCTTTCAGGACTCTGTTTACTGATGTGGCATGACTCAAAATGAGAAGAAACAGCTGCAAACATCCATTAATGTTGAATGTACAAAGTATGAATCTAGGAAAATTGGAAGTTGTCAAAAATGAAATGACACATGTAAAGATCACTATCTTAGGCATTAGTGAGCTGAAATGGACTGCTACTGGCCATTTTGAGTTGGACAATCATATGGCCTATATGCCAGGAATATGAGGAGGAATGATGTGGCATTCATCGTCAAAAAGAACGTTTCAAGATCAATGCTGTCAGTGATAAGATAATATCCATGTGCATACAAAGATGACCATTAATACAACTGTGATCCAAATTTATGTACCAACCACTAATGCCAAAGATGAAGAAATTTAAGGCTTTTACCAATTTCTGCAGTCTGAAATTGATCAAATATACAATCGAGATGCATTGATAATTACTCATGATTGGAATGCAAAAGCTGGAAACAAAGAAGGATTGATACTTGGAAAATATGGCCTTGGTGATAGAAACAACTTGGGAAAGCACATGATAGAATTTTGCAAGACCAATGATTTACTCATTGCAAATACTTTTTCTCAAAGGGTGACTATACACATGTACATCACCAGATGGAAAACACAGGAATCAAACCAACTACATCTGTGGAAAAAGGCAACAGAGAAGCTCACTATCATTGTTCAGAACAAGGCCAGAGGCCGACTGTGGAACAGACCTCAATTGCTCATATGCAAGTTCAAGTTGAAGCTGAAGAAAATTTAAACAAGTCCACAAGAGCCAAAATACGACCTTGTGTATATTTCACCTGAATTTAAAGACCATCTCAAGAATAGATTTGACACACTGAACACTAATGACCAAAAACCAGACAAGTTGTGGGATGACATCAAAGACATCTCATATGAAGAAAGCAAAAGGTTATTAAAAAGACAAGGGAGAAAGAAAAGACCAAAATGGAGGTCAGAAGAGACTCTGAAAGTTGCTCTTGAACATAGAATAACTAAACTGAACAGAAGAAATGATGAAGTAAAAGAGCTGAACAGAAGGTTTCAAAGGGTGGCTCAAGAAGACAAAGTAAAGTATTATAATAAAATGTACAAAGTCCAGGAGTTAGAAAACTAGATAGGAAAAATACTCTTGGCATTTCTCAAACTGAAAGAACTGAAGAAAATTTTCAGTCCTTTAGTTGCAATATTGAAGGATTCTATGGGCAAAATATTGAATGATGCAGAAGGCATCAAAGACTATAGAAGAAACACACAGTCACTGTACCAAAAAGAATTGATTGACATTCAACCATTTCAGGAGGTAGCATATGATCAAGAACTAATAGTATGATCAAGCTATGCTGAAGGCATTGGTGAAAAATCAGACTCCAGGAATCGACAGAATAACAATTGAGATGTTTCAACAAGCAGATGCATTGCTGGCGGTACTCACCCATCAATGCCAAGAAATTTGGAAGATGACTATCTAGCCATCAAACTGGAAGAGACTCATATTTGTGCCCATTCCGAAGAAAGGAGATCCAATAGAATGCAGAAATTATTGAATCATATCATTAATATCAGGAGCTCTTGTGGTAGTGCCTAAGGCATTTGACTGCTAACCAGAAGCCTGGCCATTCAAAGTCACCAGCCACTCCTCAGAAGGAAGATTGGGCAATCTACTTTTTGTAGATTTCCACGCCTTGGAAAACCAGGGAGGGGTTGCTATGAGTCGGAAACTACTCAACGGCAGTGAGTTTGGTTTTGGTTTTATCATTAACATCACACGCAATTAAAATTTTGCTGAAGGTAATTAAAAAATAGTTACAGCAATACATTGACAAAGAACTGCCAGAAATTCAAGCTGGATTCAGAGGAGGACGTGGAATAAGGGATATCATTGCAGATGGCAGATGGATCTTGGCAGTAATCTTTTCCCATCCAAATAGGTTGGGGCTTTGTTCTGTAACCAAAACTTGACTCCCACACAAGATCACCAGGCAGCTCATGCTCTTGATTTTAAGAAGAATCAATGAAAGGACAGGAGAAATCAGATCAAAGTCATCCCAAGATCTAAAAACCAACTTAACTTCATGCTCTAATGAAAGCAGCCTAGCATCTTCAACTTCACCATCTGCACCAGCTTATTGTTGTTCTGTGCATGTGACCCTGCTCTCCCATTTCCACAGGGTGCTGACAAGGCTACCTTGTCTGAAGGGTGACTGTGTGCTGTTTTTAACCGGACCACTTTCTTTCCCATGATTTGTTCTCATTTATTAGATTGATTCCAATTGGACTGTCGTTGTTAGGTGCCAATGAGTCGGTTTTGACTCATAGTGAGCCCATGTGACATAGTAGAACTTCCCCATAGGGGTTTCTAGGCTTTAATCTTTATGGGAGCAGATTGCCAGGTGTCTCTCCCTCGGAGCTGCTAGGTGGGTTCAAACTACCAACTTTTTGGTTAGCCACCAAGTGCTTAACCTCTGTGCTACTGGGGCTTCTTCCAATTTTATCAACACTGCTCTTATTCCTGATGAGTAAAACTAATTTTGAGGGAAAAAAAGCATTATTAAAAACCAAGCAACTATGCTGTGGATCAGTTAATTATTTTAAAATATGCACAGTATAATATGGAATGGTTAAGTTCACTTTAAAAGAATGAAGGTGCACTTCCAACAATAGTATCTAAATTTGACATTAAAATGCAATATTTAGCACTTGTGTGTGAGAAAATTAAAGAGATTGAGTTTTCTATTCTTGATGGTAAGATCTTACTGTAGTGTTATTTAAGGCAGGACTGAAAGAGAAAAAGGTGAAGTGGAAGCAACTGAAGGCTGTTAAATGAATAAATTGCAAAGGTATTTTAGGGAAAAAGCAGTGCAGTCATAAGCTTTCTTACCCAGAGTAACTTAGAGGGTCGTTGTTTTGTTTAGGAATCATCTGCATATGATTATCACCCTACACAAGAGGAGAAAGGCACCGATTATTTGTAGTGCAGTGAGTTGCTTGGTCTGGCTTTTCTAGCCATGGCCTTTGTGACTCTCACCAGATGACTCGGTGGAACTACACGAATATAAGGGAATTGGATAGATTGTGAGTAATGTAAATAAGGTACATGGCACCCTTGTGGGGGTGGGGCCATGCAAATAAGGTGTATGGAACTCTAATGTGGGGATTGGTTAGTTTTGTCATTCTGCTAGGCTTAAAATGAGCCCTCCTAGAGACAGAAGGGGGATCTCACTGCCATCAAGAGAGAAGAGCCAGAGGTAGAGGGGAGTGCGTTCTGCACTGGACCTCCTTGGCAGAGAGATGGCAGAGAGGACCAGCAGACAGGAGTGGCAGAGATGACCAGCAGAGATGACCAGCAGAGGAACCAAGAGGCATGAGACAGAGCAGCAGGCTTGCCGGCCCACAGAGCAAGAAAGCTGAGAGCCTTTGGGCAGGACGCTTGCTGGCAGAGTGGGGTGCACCTAGGTGTACCTATCAGCAGAGCTAAAAGAGCTTTGTGACACTTGTCCAAGCAGGGCAGAGGCCAGGTCAAGAGGCCAAGGGCCAAAGAGACATGCCTGAGGGCACAGCAGAAGGGAGACTGTCCTGATCGAAGAATTATATGCCGAGCACGTTCCTGAACCTGAATCGTAGCCTGTTACTTCCCTAATAAACCCATAATCGTGAGTATTGTCTGTGAGTTCTGTGTGGCCATTGCAATGAATTATCGAACCCAGCAGTGAAGTAGTGAGTGCTGTGGGAGGGATGACTGGTGTCAGAATTGGTAAAAGGCTGGAGGGTGGCGGCATGTTTGGCCTCATAGGAATAAACCTTGGGCTGCTGGTGGTGATTCTCTCTCCTCCTCATAATCTTGGAGGCGGTCAGAGGACGATGCCACCCCGTGTGCTTTTTGCCATAGTAGATGTCTTCCCATCTCAAAGTGAAATCAGAATGCCAACATTTCTGTGATGGCCACTTCCTCCACCCCTCCAGTCACTTCTCTCCCCTCAGCTTTTACCACTCACCCCACTCTTGGCTTTGCTTTGGTTGCACTAGCTTCCTTCCTGTTCCTTCACATGTTGGTCCCTTCTTGCCTCAAGCCTGGGGTTTGCTGCTTGACTGAAAATGAAGAATGAAGGAGCCTAAGACATGCACATGCCCAAGGTTCCAGCTCAGAAAATAACAGAAAATCTGTACTGATGTGAAGAAAGGAAGGGAAGCTGGGAGGAAGTCTGTTTATGTGGGAAGAGCCCGAGGAAGAAGGGAAGGGCTATGCATGGCCAGGATGAGGATGTCCACATTGCTCATTTCTTGACGGGGTTCTGACGATGTGGGTTCTGAGGAAGGTAATGTCATAACACATGACATTTGGATTATAGAACATCCAAGAAACCCTACCCAGGACACTATGGTGTTGTGTTTCAGGTCATGGTTACCAGACCTCAGTGTGTGAGAGCAGGGAGAGCCACTGTGATCACAAGTAAAACCCAACGGACCATTTAGCTTCTTATCCTTGGATTTCCCTAGGCCTCTTCACTTGCATGTTCTGTTTCTCTTCATTTTCAGTATGCCTGGGACACAAATGAAGAATATCTCTTCAAAGCGATGGTGGCTTTCTCCATGAGAAAAGTTCCCAACAGAGGAGCCACAGAGTAAGTAAACAGTGAAGAATCCTAATTGCATATGCGTCGTGTATTATTTGAAATAGTGCATTATTTCATAATTTGATCTTGAAAATAATTTAATTTTTTGAAGAGGCACATTTAAAAAAAATACATTTTATTGAAATATAATTTATGTGCAGTGAAATACCCAAAACTAAAGTGACGTGGGTCAATGGATTTTTTTTTTTTTTTTGCAGTGTTCCCTCTCCTCCCCTCCCCTGCCTCCCCAGTAACCAACAAAGAAAGTTTCCTTCCATATATAAACCTTTCCTTGACTTTTTACGGTGATGGACTAATACTATATTTGTCCTGTGATTGACTTATTTCACTCAGCATAATGTCCTTCAAGTTCATCCATGTTATGCAGTATTTGGCAGATCCTGCGTTGTTCTTTAGTGTTGCATAGTATTCCATTGTGGAAGAGACACATGTTTTTATGGAACATTTAAACAACTTGTAATCTACCTCAGCATACTCTTTATTTATTTATATTTTAAACCTCAAAAAATGATGACATTTATTAGGAAAAAGGCTTCAGAGTGGAAACGGTCAAAGACTGAAAGTTTGTGTGAGTGACAATGTGTGTATGTGTAATAGATGGAGTAGTGAAGCAGTCCTTTGAAGCCCCAGGTTCCATGAAAAAGGGAGAGTTAAGTACAGGAACCATATTGACACTGGCCAGCCTAACAGTAACCAAAAACCAAACCAAACTCACTGTAGTCGAGTCGGACCCGACTCATAGCGATCTCTCCTTGGGTTTCTGAGGTGGTATCACTACGGAAGTAGATTGCCCAATCTTCCTTCTGAGGAATGGCTGGTGGGTTTGAACCACCAGCCTTCTGGTTAGCAGTCAAATGCCTTAGACACTATGCCACCAGAGCGCCTGCCTAACAGTAAAGGAGCCACTAAACTGAAGGTGGGTTGAGTCAGCTTGTCCTTTAAATCATGTTCCAACCATGTTCTTTGTAGACCAGGCAATTTGAAGATAAATATTTTTTAAAATTACAGTTATATCTTCTAAGAAGTACACATATTACACATGCACACACATTACCACACCTTTCTATGGTATACCTATAATTTCTGTGGCACAGGCAGATAGCTAGATACATATATCCCCAAAACCAAACCCAGTGCCATTGAGTTGATTCCAACTCTTAGTGACCCCCATAGGTTTTCCAAGGGTGTAAATCTTTACAAAAGCAGACTGCCTTGTCTATCTCCCACAGAGCTGCTGGTGTGTTTGAACTGCCATCCTTTTGGTTAGCAGCT